AAGGATGCTGAAGATGTCAGAGAACAAGCACGTGCAGAGCTGAGAGAAGAGGCAGAACGTGCTGCTATGGGTGAAGAAGATGAAGATTGTCGAAAGGAGTTACCCGCTTTGGAGGAAGACGCTCCACCAGGTGTTTCCTTTGGTGAGGCTGAAGTGGTAGGTGAAGAACCTGTGGATGTAGAGATTGGGGATGAAGTTCAGAGAGATATGAGCCCAGGAGGAGCTGCCAGCGCAAGTCATGGCAATGAAGCTCCCAGCATTCCAATTTTCTCTGATGATGGCCCAGTGACAGTGGCCTATGTTCCGCAGACTCCTAGAGGAGCTTCCACTACACGTACTCATGCAGAGGATGATACAGTTGAGAATGAACATCAAGCAAAGCGTTCAAAAGGCGAGGAGACCAAGCGTGCCCGCATTCAAAAGATCACTGAAGAGTATGCAGCTCAGATCAATGTTGTGCAAATGGCAGATGACAACTTTTATACAATGGACAACTATGAAACTGATCTGGATGTTTAGGAAACAGATGATGCCATGGATTTGTGGGCAGACGAAGATACTTTGGTGTTCAAGAACATTGCTGAAGATTTGTGGAGTGATTTCAACGTGGAGAGACAACCACCAGAGCCTCCTGAGTGGGTTTGACATGCTAGCAAATGAAGTCGAGATTGGACGGTTGATGGAGATGGGAGTTTTGATCAAGGAGGAGCTCTACCCTTCAGAGGTGACTGACTCACTTACAACAAAGTTTGTTCATGACTGGAGAGCCAAAGACTATGCAATGGCCAATGGTGAAATTTCCAAACGTTGGTTGCGCAGAAGTAGATTGGTGGCAAGAGAGTATGCGTTCATGGAAAGGCGTGATGATTGTTTCAGCCCTGCCATATGCAGCCATGTGATGAACCTTTTGCCTGCAGTCTTCCTCAAGAACTGCAGTGAGCGTCATGGCTGTGAAGACCAAACAGAAGAGCATATTCTGGCAACCATTGATGTGAAGGATGCATTTTTGTGCGTGCCACAAGAGCGACCTTTTTCAGTGCGTTTGGCTGGACGTAGGTTCATTATAGCAAAGAACCTACTTGGACAAAGGCTTGGAGCCACGGCATGGTATTGGTTTCTCAGAAGGTACTTGAGTGAAACTTTCAGTTACGAGTGGTGTCCAGAACAACCTTGTTTGTGTAAGAACAGTGAATCAGTGCTCATGGTTCATGTGGATGATGTGCTTTACACAGGTACCCGAAGGTTTTGGGATGAACGGTTTGTGCCCAAGTTGAAGGAGAAATTCACCATCAGTCATTCAGTGCTTGGGGGCAGGAGACTCCATTTCCTTTTTGAAGCGTAAGTTGACAAGACTGGAGAAAGGATTGGTTTTGACTCCGAGCACTAATGTCTCAAAATTGGTTGAAACATTTGAGTCACACTTTGGTACAGTGAGAGTTCAGCGTGTTGCATGTGACAATGGGTTTCAGCTTCCTGATGTCTCAGCTCAGTTGACTGCCCGTGATGCTTTTGCGTACAGGTCAGCAGTTGGGGGACTACTCTACCTGGCCAGAGATCGGCCTGATTTGGCATTCCCTGTCAAAGAACTGTCCTCGAAAATGTCTCAGCCTACAGTAACGGCTTTGCAAAGACTGCGCAAAGTAATGGGGTATGTCAAAGGTACTCCAGAGTATGCAGTGATGTTGGAAGAGCCTGAAGCAGGACAAGGGAAGTGGAAAACCACAAACGATGCGTTTTGGATTTTGGAAAGTGCAAGTGACTCAGATTGGCCCTCAAACCGTGAACACCGAAGAAGCACTTCATCAGGAGTTCATTTGGTGAATGGGCTACTTATGTTTGCGTCTTCACGTACACAGAAAATAGTGAGCTTGTCAAGTTGTGAGGCCGAGCTTCATGCAATGGTGAGCACATTGGCCGATGGGATCTACATCAAGCGTTGTTTGGAGTTTGTTACAGGCTCACAGGTGTTTCATTGCTTGATGACAGACTCATCAAGTGCTCGACAACTATGTGCAAAGCAAGGTGTAGGAAAACTGCGCCATGTATCTGGGAAGATCCTATGGATACAGCAACATGTTCTGGCAGGTGATGTTCAAGTTTGCCAGCTTCCAACAGTGTGGAACATTGCAGATCTGGGAACGAAATCTTTGAATGCAAGTCGAGTTCGTTTTCTGCTTCATGAGTTGGGTGTGGCTGACAACAATGGCCTTAGTGTGATTGGTGAAGTAGAGTACAATGAGCAAGTGGAGAGACATGGATCTCGAAGACAGATCATGCGGTTAGCCCGCAATTTGTGCCGTGTTTTCACTTTACTGGGCCTTGAGCCGGCTGGTGTTACAGGTGCAACAATCAACACACATGGAAGTTCTCAAGATCAATGCGATGGCGATGAGGTATCAGATAACAGTGAAAGCTCGATCACCACGTATGTTTTCATTTTTCTGCTTTTGATTTCATGGGAAATCTTTGCATATGTTGGATGGAAAGTTTACAAACGTGTGACACAGATTGAAGGGCAGGTGATGCAGTATCAGACTGGTCTTGCAACTGTGGAACAAGATCACAACCATTTGGCTTTGCAGGTTGCAGAGATGGATACAACAGTGGGTGAACACAACAATAGATTGGTCAGAGCAGAATTTGGCCTTGGAGAGACTGCGAGAGACCTTGATTTCTTAACTGATTACGCTGGTTCCTTGCAGTATGGTTTGGTCGAAATTGGTGGATTCAGGCGGTTCAACGAACTGACGCCTGGACAGAACAGGCATATGTATACCCAGGAAAGAGCGAATATGGTTTCCTACAACCTCATGGGTGGCCCGAGATATCTGCGTTTGGTGAGCCAACATTCCACAGGAACTCACCATCATGCTGACAACACTGATAAGCAAAATGTTGGAAATTTTGAAGAGAGTGAATCAGAGATGGAACAAGATGAGATGATGGAGGAAGATGTGCATACGCGTGAACATTTGGTCAATAGACTGAGGACATTGCTGAATGAGTGTTTGGCAGCTTCAGAGTTCACAGATGCAGCTGACGTGCAGCAGCTGGTTCTCATGACTCTAGATGCTGGACAGCCTGGACAGGCACTATCAGCAACAGAATTCCATAGTCTTTTGGAACAGGTAGCTCAGAGGTTGCAAATAAGAATGGATCGTGCGCGAAACCATTCACGATCTCAAATGGCTGGAGTGTTTGCGCGCTACATCAATGAGTTTGAGGTGCAGCTTGGAATCAGATGAGACAGGTGCATGTGGCAATTTTTCACTGGAAGGTGATTGCTGAAGACCGGAAAGGTCATAGAATTTATTTGGATGGAAGAGTAGGAAACAATTTTTCCACTGAAGGCTGAAGGTGACAATTTTTGCTGGAGCTCCCGTCCAAAACTCTACAAAATTTCCAATGAAGTGGCAGCAGAAAAGAGTGCTGTCAATTGGTTGGAATGCGCAGATCTAAAGCTCAGAGCATTCAGGAGGAGCGAGAAACATTAGACACAGCACTCATAGGTCATATCACATGAAAATCATGTGGCATTTCACTTTGAATCCATCTGAAATTGTCGAGGCCCTGCGGTTCAAAATAATGCGGCCATTTGCTTCGCAGTTTCCCAATTTGTCTTTAATCATAGTTTTGCCTTAGTGGCGGTGGCCTGTCCTAGTTTCATGCTGATTTCATTCGTGTCTTGTGATTGTCTCTGTCCTTGCACCCTTTGTGTCCCCTTGCTGCCTCAAAATCAAATCATGTTCCACCATTGTTTTTTGCGTTCTACCACTTGTGTTCCACATGTCTCCTACCTTGTTACCTTCTTATTGTCTCAGATACGCATGCCATGGCAAAAAATCAAAACCGTGTGGCATGATAAAATGTTGCTTGTGATTCATGGTGTTCTCGTTTGACATGGATCAAAAATTGCCAGCATCAGGAACTAATATAACCACAAACATGCACACAGATGCTGCAATGGATATCGCGGGGGTCTAATTTCCGATTTTAAAGTGCAAACCGAACTCTTGGTACAGTTTTGTGCGTTTTTGCTGACCCCATCTGCCAAAGGGGTTCCGCGGTTGTCAATTTTAAACATTTTCAGCTGCAAATCGAACTCTCGTGCATTTTTTGTTGGCAACTTTCCACAGGTGTGGTTGACATGACATGGTGGTGTGAATGCTAACCATGACCATCACCGGTAAGTGGTAGATTTGCTAGGACATCTGTTGGTTGACGATTGTTTTTTCCATCGACCCTGACAGTTTCTTTGTTTTTTTGCCTTCCAATTGTTGGCTTCAACATTTTGCTAGCTAACTCAAATGCCCTTACCCCACATGGAACATCATGGATCATGGAACATCATGGATCTTCGTGGACGTAAATTTCAGCAGTTGGGGATGTCCTGGTGACATGCGACCACAAAATGAAACACATCCCATTCAGGATCAGACTCTTGAATCGACAATGGATTGCAATTTGTTTTTTTCACTTCAGCAAACAAAAAATATAAAAAATCAAACAAGTAGTTTCATTAATGGTGGCACACGCAGTAATCATGACAACATGAAAAACTATATATATATATACATACACAAACCAACCAATGGTGCATATGATATGATTTGATATGATTTGATATGATGTGATTTGATATGATTCGATGTGATATGATATGATATGACATGATGTGATATGATATGATATGATGTGATATGATATGATATGATATGATATGATTCGATGTGATATGATATGATATGATATGAATTGATATGATATGATATGACATGTACATGTACATGTACATGTAGATGTATATGTATATGTATATGTATATGTATATGTATATGTATACAGTGTGAATATCCATTATTTCGATGCAAACAATCATGAGAGTGGCATCTTGCATTTGCAACCCACCCATAAATATAGAAACATTTGGAGAACAACCCAAAAAATCGATGTTTTGCCGGTTCCATGCAGTCATGTTCCCTGGGTCCCCTGGCCGCGCCATGGAGCGCCCCAGCGCCTTTCCGCGCAGTGACCCCAGTGACCCCAGCCCCGGTGGTCTCGGCCGGGCTTTGTTCCGGCGTGGCGACAACGTTTGCCGTGGCGTTTTGGCAGCCAATGGCCTTTACGGTTCAGCACAGATGGGTCAAATTTGGGGAAAATTCAATTTTTGGTTTTGATGTTTTTGTGATTGTTTTAGTTTTTTTTCCGAACATGATCCAATTTTTTTTGTGACTTGACTTGCCGCCTGAAACATCATAATATATAGTAACGCAAAAAAAAACAACGAATTTGGGGTTATCACTTATCACCAACAATCACCGGGGTGAAAATGAAAATGATGGCATTTGACAGCAAATGACTGGCTTCATGCGAATAAAAATGAATCAACAAATTTGGTTTTGGACGACCTGTGAAATTTAACAATTCCTTAGGGAATTGCCCAACGCCTTCTATACATGGAGAAGTATTTGACGGTTGAAAAATTGGATAGCTGTCATTCTTGTTGATCTTGGGAGAATTCCTTCTTTTCCTATGAACCTGAAAATCCGCAAGTTTACCAAAGGAATTGGGTAGGTTTGTGGAGTAAATCTGCTGATCTGAATCCGACAATTTCAACATAATTTTCTTTTCACAACAGATGGATTTGTTTCAGGATTTGATTGAATTATCATCAGTTTATCATCATCATTTTTTTTTGAATTATATGTATATATATATAGAGGGCCAAAAACAATGTCCCATTTTATGATTGGTTTCAATCTCACTTCATATTTGTTTTAATGGCCAGTGATATTTTCACCTTCATCATACATTTTCTCTCTGAAGCAAAAAGGATCTTTCACCATTGGCCACGATGAAAATTATTCATCATGGATTGATTTGTCACGAGGTACGAGTAATTTCGTTTTTTGGATTTCCCTGACTAGGAAAAACAATTTCAGAGCAAAAATAAAGTCCGTGTGAACAAAACAAACATGGCAATGGATTTGTTGCGAGACCTCCTGGAGGTGTCCACAGCATGTCGAGTGCAACGGCAGCGAAAGCTCTACCCTGGGGTGGACCATGAACAGGTCACTGGATCCCTGAGATGGAGCCTGTAGGATTCATTATTGATATAGTTGGATGGTTGGTTGGTTGGATGGATAGTGATAGTATCAGATAGATAGTAGCAAATAGATAGATAGCAAGGTGGGTAGGTAAGGACGTAAGACGTAAGTATATAGATAGATAGATAATAGACTCACTCAGTGACAAAGTGGAAAACAACTTTCCAGCTTCCCAAGAAGAATCTTCTGTCGTATCAGGTCATCAAACAAGTTGGGTTGGTTTGGTGATGCCATCCCTGCAAGTGGATAGTCAGCTTTTGAGGTTTAATCTAAGCAGCGGGTGTTTTGCCCCGATACACTGACTAAGAATGGCCTTCTACATAAACATGATATGGGTATTGTTCTTTTTTCATGTTGGCTGTGCTGAGAGATGCTTTTTCGGTGCCTTTCATTCACGCTGGGGCCAAATTTTCACAGGTTTATCACGCCTACAGGGTTGTAAGATATTCCAAGACGGCAGCTACAGTTCAGCAACTGTATCAGGCTACTTACCACTACTTTGTTTTTTTCCAGACATGGAGTAATACACCAAAATGGGCATTCTGATGAGAAAAATCTTGGAGCAGAAACATCCCAGGACCCTTGGAGAGAAGTGCCCTGGGGCCAGTTGCCGCCCTTGGCTACGGAGCTTCTGCAACGGCTGCAGCAGTTGCAGAGAGACATGGAGGCGCGGATGGCTGACGGCCGGAGGCGACGAATCGTTTCACTCTCATGGAGGATAGCTGAGGATAGCCCAACAATGTTATTTTTTCGAGGGAACACACACTGATAAACACTGTTTTTTTTGGGGGTAACACATGTTCAGCCAACATATTCATCGTATGTTTTCACTTTAGTGTAGCGGCTTCGGGGATAGTCAATTGCTTGCACACAATTTTTGAGTATTTTTGAGGTCACAAACAGCGCCAACGACCGCCAAGAGGAGTTGAACAGACTCGCTTACCCTGTTGGCTCCTGCGAACTTGGCATCAACCTTGACCACGATCTGAATCACAGTATATCCTGCATCATTTGTGCTAGTCTCCAGTATATACAGTTAAGAAAACATCTAGTTTCATTATGTTTCATTAACTTGTATTTTTCATTACAGATGCCACAAAACAGAGTTTGCTGGTCGCTGCCAGGCGGCATATGGTCCGCATTTGGAGCCCTGGGATGTGCGAATGGCAGAATTGGAGGTGTGTGGCCAGAGGGTTGGTCTGGCTGAGTGCTTGTCATGTGGCATCCAAGTTTTTCCTGCGATTTGGCATGTTAAAAACAATGGGACGTAGGTTTGTTTGACACAGCAGTTGTCGTAGCCGCTATCATCTCACTCTTCTTGCCAATCATAGCGACCTTTCCGCAGCGCCCCAACATTTGAGATATTTTTGATCCTCAATATAGGTCCACATCTATAGTATATATTATATATATACAAGTTTCATGATTTTTACTTGTTAAAATTTGCTACTGTCAGTCTGTCAGTTCAGCCAATGTTTCACTGGTGTTTTCAAGCGTATATGAAGAGGGGCATCACTCTACAAGCATCCCAATGCAAGCCACCAATGAACAGTTTGCTGCTTGCTTGGCCTTGCCCCTCAGAAGCTAGTTCTCCATTGTGCTATCTTTTCACAAACACCACCTTCTGTGTCTACCCATCATTATTGTCAAACTATACCGAATTTTCATTAATTACACCCCAGTCATATGGTTTCCCCCAGGTTTTTGGTGGTTTCTCCACTTGGACTGCCTCCTTATCCCCAAGCACAGCTCCAGGAAGTGTTTCGTCCTAATCGCTGTGCCTGCACCTATGGTGAGCTGGATCACTTCGGCTTCGCCCGGCTCTTGCAGGTTGCACTTCTCCCACCTCTGGTGGCGGTTCCTAGAAAAGATGGAAACCCTGGAAACCTATATAGTTCCTCAAGATTTTGATGGTGCTGTGGAGGGGATCGCATTGAAATCTTCAACAGATGGAGTGGATGAGTGGATCGTCCATTTCCAAATTGGTCCCAAACGACAGAAATCCGAATTTCTGCACAATTCATCTTGGTGCTGTCAGCTTTTCAGGTCCTCCCCCCCCATATCGTAGGTCAAGACCCGTCCAGGAGGCCTCCCTGGGCCCTGGCCACAGCTTCGTGGATGTCGGGAGTGGCCTTGGAAAGCTGGTGGTGGCTGCTGCCTGCGTAACGCCAGATGAAGTCCCCTGCTATGGGGTGGAAATAAGCCCTTTCAGGTGGGGGCTCCAGATTGGCTCCAAACTTCACAGTCGGACGAAACAAATTTTCCACGGTGGAACACTAATATTTTTGGCACCTCTTTCAGGTGCCATATTTTCACGTCCCGATTTTTTGAGGCATCAGACTGCACAGGAAGGACTTCAAGGTCTGCAATCCATGGGCAGCATCACCCGACGCGAGGCGCGTCCACGGGAGCGATTTTTTGGCACTGCTGGAATTGGAGTGGAATTGTCCTGGTGACTTGGTGACGACTAACATAGGAACGGGAAAGCCATCATTTTTTTTCACCATTTTCCTTGAAACAATTGATTTTTCTCATTATATATGTATAAATATATGTATACATGTATATATATACATACATACATACATACATACATACATACAGACAGACAGACAGACAGACAGACAGACAGACAGACATACAGACATACATACATACATACATACATACATGTATATAATATATATATATATATATATACATACACATATATATATATACACGTATATATATATATATATGTATACATATATTTGCTGGAGGGTATCAACATCCACTACTGGGGTATCAATACCAAGACTCTCAGGGTGATTTTAACTCAGGATTCAAGTGTGATTGATAGCCCTTTTTGGAGCCATTTAGCATTCTATAAATTGAGGATATTTAAGATCTACCAAAATATAATGGTGATCCACTGTTTCAGTGGTCTGAAAAATCCTCAATCCCTCCATGATGTTCTCACCATGACTACATCAAAGCACGTCCCCACACGTCGAAGGTCAATATGAAAGAAAGTACTGGCTATGTAACCTTTGTTGCTTGGTACTTTTGAGACAGTTGATACTTTCTACATTATTCTTCGATCCATACTTGCAGTTTCTTAGAATGGTTCCATCTCCAACTGATTGACTCGCTTAGAATGGAACCGCTCATCAGGTTTCCATGACTCTACCTCGCCGTTTGCTGTTTCGGTTTACAGTAAGCAGAGAGGGAAGTATCACCCCATACCTCTGAGCAGATATGGATGGGATATCAGCAAGGCTGAGCCATCACACATGTCGGATCAGATCATCATCGATTCCCTTCCGGGCTACTCCAGGTTGCCTTGCAATCAGTGACGCGGTGCAAAGGTAGTAGCTACGGTAGGAACCCAGGAACCTTCCGAAGCGATCTGGGGAGACCATCAACCTGCAGCAGGAATATGATGGGGTCACGATGGTCATATGGTCATAGTGACATAATATGGTCATAGTGTAGCTTTTGCATGCGAAAAAGTGTTTCCTTTGTTGCTTTCAGGAAGTGTTAATTCTTGTGACCCCCTTTTCTTGTGAACCATCGCTCTCAAATGGTTTTGTCTTAAAGTAGGCTACCACAAAATTCAATTGTTAATCATCCCTTTGACACTTTTCCCCTCAAATTGTTCCGTTTTCAGACCCAAATCAGGTGCTTTTTCTTTAGTTCCGCCTTTGGCTGCCGGAAAGGCGCCAAGTGCGCCTTCTGCCATCACCAAGTGCAGCGTGCCTACCAAGTCACAAGGCACAATCAGCGGCAAAGGATCCGCAGGTCGATGGGGCGGCTGATTGAACAACTGGATGTGGTATCTCAACAGCCCCAGGACAAGGGTTGCAGTTGAAGGTCGGTATAAAAAATGGCTAAAACATGGGTGGAGGTGATTTGACCCAATTTCAGCCCATACCAACCATAGTGTTCACCCATTCAATTTTCTCACCTTGGTATTTGGGGTGGGGGCACCTCTGCAGGAGATTGTACATCGATTGCAGATACAAGCCCTGCGGAATCCGTATGCTCGGACTTGGTGCCAGCGACAGATTGACCAAGCTCTCGAGCAGGTGGAAGCGCAGTACCAAGCCAGAGGACCCTTGAAATCTGCAGAAATCTAGGAATGGCAGAGGTTAACGGGGTTACTCCCATGACGCTAAATCATATCCACCAAGGAGGAAAAAATGGTTTGTATCCTGGGGTGTTGGGGTGTTGGGAGCAACCCTGTCTGATGAGGATTGAAAGTTCGAACATCACTTGAAATGGTTGTGAAACAGGGTTCAGGAATGTCGCAAGGAAAAGGTGATGGTTATGTGAGTAATATTTTGAAAACAAAGTACAGTACCCCCAAATCTAGAATGGTTTATTGATTCTTGCATTAAGCTTGCGGTTGCAAGTCATATGTGTGGAATGTTGAACCAAAATGTCCACCGGACATTTTGGCTCAAGCAAACCCCGTTTGTATCCAGTTTGGGTTCAATTTGAAAGGGCGAGGAGTCCTGCCTAGTTCGTGCCCCCTTCACGTTTCTGGGTACCTTGTCGCTGACACGGCCTCTTGGTGAGTGGTGGCACTGATTTTTGGCCAATCTCAGTGTGCGTCGCTGTTGGCCTGGTGGCTCAGCTGTGCTGAGTGCTGTGCTGAGCGCGCTGTGCTGCGTGGGCGAGAGGACTCTGTTGCTGCTGAACACGTGGCTACTTCTCGGCATTTGTCCTCATTGCCAACTACACCTTGAAGGACTTCGACCTTTATTTCATTGGCCATTGATCTGCAGGGGTGGCTGCCTGTTTTATTTCTTTTGCGTGGTATATGGGGGTGGGCTCCCGCTTTGATTTCTGGCCTAGCTGCGACTTTTCAATTTGGATTGCTTTTCTGGTGATTCTCATCCTGCTACTGCTGGACAACGGGCCCTTTAGCGCGGACAGATTTTTGACTTCAGCAAAGAGCTCAAGCACAAGATGGCCGATCTTCAGGACACGATCAAGCGCCTAGCAAACCTCGGCCTCTCCGGCAATCTGGAGGAACCGGCTGTGGCCATGGACACCCAAGGAAACCCACAGAGGATTCGGACCTGCCCGCAGCTGAGACGGAGACTCCACGCGGTGGACTAGGATTTGCAACGGGTGAGAGCGGAAGCTACCCTCAAGCCGAACGGGTGCCGGTAGCCCCGAAGGCGGAAGGGTCAGGCACTGCCCCCAGGGCTTGGTGCGCCTGTCGGTCCAGCCGGTAAATTTCCAACCGGTGTGCTTCATGCTGGATCCGGAGAACCACGATCTCAGCAAACTGGTGGTCTTTCCAGAGCCCTTTCCAAGCATCCCAAACTACTTGGTGAACATGCTCTATAGGCGCGCACTGTTGGGGGCATGTGCTACAATGGACTGCCGCCATGTTTAGGCACGTGTTCCTTTGGAGCACTTCACTGCCTGTCAGGTGTGTGCGAGCGAGCCATGTTTAGGCTTGTGTTACAGGCAGTGAATTGCGCCAAAGTAAGACATGCTTAAACAAGCCTTGCAAATACCTGACAGGCAGCGAGTTGCTCCAAAATAAGACATGCTTAAACATCCCGCCGGGTTGGAAATGGGCCGAGTAAAAACAGCATTTTCATGTGACTGGCAAGAAGTCAATCATGCGTTTCGCAGTGTTTTTTCATGTTTTTATGTTGTCCATGAAGGTCAATTCTATTGTGATTTTGAATTTTCATTGGGATTTACTGTATATAGTTGACATGTCGGAGTGCGAAAAAGGTTCCTTTTGGGAAGTCAGCGTGCCCAAAACCTCAGCGGCAGCCATTTTTTCCGGTGATCTCTACATCTTCGCTAAGTACGCACCTGTTTTCTCCAACAGGGCTTTTCCAACTACATTTGCATGACGTATGTGCGCACGTGCAAGTGAACGTGCCGTGGCGTAACATCATGGGAGTGCGCAAGTACGTGAACGTTATTGCCCCACCCCACCCCACCCCACCCCAAGGAACATATAAAAAAATGCCTAAAACGCTCGGACGGTTTTCAACCCGTAGGCACTTAAACATGCCTTGCAAATACCTGACAGGCAGGGAATTGCACGGGAGCAACACATGTCTAAACATGGCGTGCAGATACCTGACAGGCAGCGAGTTGCTCCAAAATAAGACATGCTTAAACATGCCCTGCGAATACCTGACAGGCAGTGAATTGCTCTAAAGTAACACATGTCTAAACATGGCAAGTACCTGACAGGAGCGAATTGCTCCATAAGACATGCTTAAACATGCCTTGCGAATACCTGACAGGCAGTGAATTGCTCTAAAGTAAGACATGCTTAAACAAGCCTTGCAAATACCTGACAGGCAGCGAGTTGCTCCAAAATAGGACATGCTTAAACATGCCTTGCAAATATGTGCAAGGCATGTTGAAGCATGTTTTATTTTGGAGCAACTCGCTGCCTGTCAGGTATACGCAAGCCATGTTTAGACACATCCAGAACCGTACACTGGAGAAGACGACAACCCCCGACTGTCCTGGATTGTGTTCATGCCCTTATTGGCTTCACGAGGCGAACAAGTCCCCTCCTACTAGTGCCCACGGCTTAGAGGGACTGGACCAGGACTCAGCCCTCTGGAAGTGGCCCTCACGCCATCAACAATGGATCCTCCTCAAGGCAGATGTCACCAAAGCCCCAGGCGAGTGAAGATCCTGCCCCACGACTGGAAGTACCAGGGTAGAACTCCAAGATGAATGGTGGATTAACAAAGTGGGCACCTACGGCATGGGCAGTGCGCAACTATACTGGGGGGAGGACTGCAGCCCTGATCCTCCGCCTGCTCTACAAGCTCTTTCCTCAGATTGACTGGGGATTTGTCTTTGTGGATGACTTCTGCTGGATTCTTCGCATGGAAGAGGCAAACCACATGGCCACATCCCTTCTTGCCACCCTTGTGGCCTTGAGAGTGGCCCTCAGTTGGAAGAAGACACACCTTGCAGAAGTGAACACATGGCTCGGCTTTGTGATCCACCCCAACATTCCCCAAGTTCAGATGACTGCCCCCAAGCACTCCCTGGGTGCTTGAAATGTTGGAGCTCTTGATTCAGAACACCGCTATAACATCGAAAGCTATTGGGAGAGCCCTGGGCCGTCTCCAGTGGGCAACAGCGGTATGTCCTCTGACAAAGAGCCTTATGCAACCCTTCTGGGCATGGAAGATGGCAGTTACCTCTTCATCCCAACCGCCTAAGCCAGTCCGTCTACTGGCCCTGCTGATGAAAGAGCTCTTCACCATCCCTTACTGGTTCTCCCCCCTATCTGCCCGAATCTCCGTGGTGGGGATGCAGCGATGCAAGTGCTTCGGACTCAGGGGAGGCCTACATTGGTGGATGGTTGTCAGATTCTCAGAACCCTGCCAGACACTCAGTTTCTTGGTTTTATTTCCAGATTCATCAGTCTCAGTTTCCCTGGGCTTTCAAAGACGGGAATCCCAAAAAGAGGATAGCAGCTCTTGAACTGCTGGGCGCTTTGGTGCTGACACACTGCATTTTGAAACTTCAAGGTAAGACTGCTTCTGCCATGAGGATCCCGGTAGGAAGTGATAACCTGAGCAATGTCTTTTCGTAGCTAAACCAAGCATCCACGAAACCCCATACTGCAGCCATCTTGATGGAACTCGTCCTTTTGCTCCATGCAGCTGGCTGCGCTCTGGCTCCATGTCATGTACCTCGAGAACAAAATCAATGGGCGGATGATCTCACACACCTGAGGCAACACTGCCTGGCATATGAGGGCCTGAGAAAGCGGGGATTCACATCCATCCCATGGAGAGAAGTTGATGTCCGCAACCTCCTGAACACCTTGGCGGCAGGGGAAGTCACGCCGTACCAGCCCGAACAGGTCTGGAACACATTGAAATGGCTCTCCAAAGTGTTTGGCTTACTGAACCTGCACGAGATGCACCGCTTCAAGACCAAGAAGCAGGCTTTGGAGGAGCCCCTCACAGACACGGCCACAAAGCCGCAGCGGAAGGTGGTGGCATCGAACACCACAAGGTGATGGACTCGTACATCCTTGGGCTAACCCGCTTTCAGCTCGGGTGTAGTGCACGGTTTCATGACCTGCAGCACGTCCATCCCAAGGAACTTCACTGGACCACGGAGACGATCGAACTCCAGGCATGGCAGACCAAGACAGTTTCAGCATCCAAGATACGCCGCCACCCAGTCCCACTGATATGCCCGAAATACAGCTTCCGGGAAAGGACTAATGGTCAGGCCTGGTCTCCACCACTCGCTTGGGAAGCTCTCACAGGAGGACCAGTTCAAGGACATGGACTTTCGGATCCTCACGATCAGCAAGGGCTTCAATGGTGTGATTTTGCCGTCCCACCACAAGGGGGGAGGATCCTCCCTGGACACCTCAGTGGGCACACCGGCCAGCAGCAAATGGAGCGTCTCTGAGGCCAGGGACTTACCGGTGCCAAGAGTACTCTTTGCAGAACCCGCACCAGATTCTCTGCGGGTGGTATCATCATGCGCCAGGACCACATCGTCAGGCCAGTACCGTATCCACCTGGGCACAGCAGTGGGCTGTGGCTAGAGACCCAAAAGTGGGAGTGCCGAGGACCTCTGACTTCCTCAACGAAATCGCCCGCTATGGCAAGTGCACCCGATCGATGCTTCAAGTCCCACGACCTCCCGGAGGAGTACCAGAGAGGACGTCACCGTATTGGGGAAGCACCAGCAGACCCGGACTTGTCCAACGACTCGGGCTCCGACACCGACGACTCAGTGGACACAGAGTCAGACCGTGAGAACGTACAGCTCCCCATTTTCCGGGCCTCCGATTCGGCCTGCACAGGTCCCACCAGCCCTGAAAGGGATCCCTACGGACACCCCGGCTTCGGAAATGGCGGTCAGTGCCAGGTCGTCCTTTGGAAATGGTGGAAATTTCGACCTGGCACACCTGGTTGATTGAATTTTGGTACTGTACAGATGCAGTGTGATCAATCCCAGAATCCCAGATACAGGGAACCAGGACAAACTGGCACCAACCACTGCGCAAGTCAAAAAGAGTGAGGGTTGGTGCTCAGTTGACTTGACTCTTGTGTGAAGAGGACATTTTTTTCACA